TCAAAAGCCAATAGGAATTGTCCAGGCTGTCTCTGCCCTGCTGAGCCCGCCAAAAGTCCCATTCTGCAAACGGTGCTGCACCAGTTGAGTAGTCCTCGACTTACGACCGGTTGAGTAGTCCTTGACTTATGACCGGTTGGGGGTCGCGGCATTAAAAAGGTTGAGAACCACTGTTCTAAGGTATGTTGAATATTGATTTCTCAGTCTTCAATGTCTTTACAGATGTTGTGATACTACTTCTATTCTCTTTTAATAGTTTAAAATGTTAGAAAAATTATTGAAAATAGCAATGAAATTTAAGGAAAAGAAATCTCTCAAGTTCTTCACTTGGTACATAGAAATCAAATTCCTAGGTATAGAATGTGGAAATATCTGCCAAAGATATTCATCTGTTTGTTGATGATTGCCCTTGAAGTTATATCAGGTCCAGAATGGTTGACAAGAACTAAAAAGTTTGAAATAGCTATTCCAGTCTCCCTTAATTCTTTGTTAGCAATCCAAATTTTATAATATAAATGATGTCGCAGTTGCGACTGCTGCCTGTGGATGGCTCTAGTTTGAGCTGATACAAGGCAAAAGATTTCTTTCTCCCATATTTGGGTTGACAGGGTGCATCAAAAAGCACTCAAGGTAATTCCTCCCCCTGTCTTTTCCCTCCCTGACACAGCTGACAAAGTGAGAAAGAGCCTGTGGCCTAGAGGTTAACACAGCTGCTTAACATGCAGACAGCCTAGGTTCGAATCTCAGAAGGGTATGTCTGATAGATGAGAACTAAAAAGTTCGAAATAGCTATTGCATTCTCCCTTAATTCTTTGTTAGCAATCCAAATTTTATAATATAAATGATATCGCAGTTGCGACTGCTACCTGTGGATGGCTCTAGTTTGAGCTGATACAAGGCAAAAGATTTCTTTCTCCCATATTTGGGTCGACAGGGTGCATCAAAAAGCAATATATATATATGTGTGTATATATGTATGTATATATATATATATATATATGTATATATGTGTATATATGTGTATGTATACACACACACACACACACACACACACACAGCTTTTTGATGCACCCTGTGCATCAAACATGAACACCAGGAAAAATTTAAACTAGAAAAGTTTAATAAATTACCAAGCTTTCGTCGGAAAACTACCGACATCATCGGAAAACTTTCATCGGAAAACTATCAACATATATACATATATACATATACATACACACACAGACATATGTATGTATGTATGTATATGTATGTATGTATGTATTTATACATACATATATGTATACGTATATTTATTTATTTATTTATGAGACTTATATACCGCTTTAAGTGCAAGCACTCTCTAAGCGATATACACCAGTAAGCAATGTATTTATATATTTACATTGCCCCCAACAATCTGGGTCCTCATTTTACCTACCCCGGAAGGATGGAAGGCTGAGTCAACCTTGAGCCGGTGAGATTTGAACCGCTGACCTGCTGAACACAGTCAGCTAAAGTGGCCTGCAGTACTGCACTCTAACTGCTGCGCCACCTCGGCTCTTGTTATATAAATCACTGTCCATTTGAAAACATAGCTGAAAGAGGAAGCTTGAGAGTTCACCAGGTTGATACTATATGGAAAAAAACTGTGACTGAATCTAGATGTTCTGCTTCCCCTTCCCAGAAGGTAACAAGGAAAACAGGTCATGGAGGATGTGTAGTGTTCCAGACATTACTGTGGACCTTGCTAAAACATCTCTTATATGCTATGTCTGGAATAGTAAGAAGTGAACTACCAATAATCTTTTTTGCCATCCTCATCACTCTCTGCACTGCCTTCCTGTCTAAAGTAGTAATGCTTCCAAACCTGACTGTAAATGCAATAAGACAGGATGCTCTTCATCGTTCTTCTATAGAAAGCAGTAAGGACATGCAATGCAGAAAATGCAGGCACTGCTTGCCCATTTCACCAGTGTCTCGCTGTTGAGCAATCAAGCCCTACTCGTTAGCTACACATCCTGAAACTTGATGCTGTTAATCACCTCTACAGGTGAATTATTTATACACAGATGTGTGGCTGTGCCTTTTCTGAAATCGACAATGATTTCTTTCATTATTCCACTGTTTAAAACAAGGTGAACATTGGGTTCACCAAACCCTCTATCTCCTTGCGGTAAGCACCCTCATTGTCATCCTGAATAAAGCTCACTACTATTGTATCATCCGCATACTTCATAATATGGTTGGTGGCAAACCTTGCACAAGTCATGGGTCAACGGGGTGAACAATAGCAGATTTAGTACACAGCCCTGAGGAGAACCTGTGCTCAAAAAAAATGGTGTTAGAAGTATTAGTCCTAACGTGCACATACTGGGGCCTATCAATAAGAAAATCAAGAATCCAGTTGCAAAAAGGAGTATTAAAGCCTAAAAGGCCCAGTTTGTCTACTAGATGCTGAGGAACAGTTGTATTAAATGCTGAACTGAAGTTGACAAACAGCATTTGCATATGAGTATTTTTTTCCTCTTAAGTGCGCCAAGCTCAGATGGAGAACAGAACAAATAGCATCCTCTATAAAGTGATTTGGATGGTAAGCAAACTTCCTCAAATGCTGGAGGGAGGCTAGATACAATAATGTCCTTTATCAGCCTGTCAAAACATTTCATAATGATGGATGTAAGTGCAACTGGATGGTAATCATTGAGACCTGTAATTGTAGACTTTTTGGGCACTGGCAAAATAATGGCCATCTTAAAACCTGATGAGACCACTGCCTGCTGCAGTGAAAGATTGAAAATATATGTAAGAACAGAAGGCAATTCATGCCTAGGGATATTATGTGGGCTTGCTACCTTTCAAGTGTTAACTTTCTGCAATGTCCTCTGGACAGAATTAACATCAGAACTAAGCATTTGCTCAACAGGATGGGGTGCAACTTTCCTCTCAGGGGTGCTATTTAAAGCCCTGATTGACATAGGGCTAGACTATTTGCGGAACCACCACAAATAACTAGTCACGTATATAAATCAAACAGATCTTCAGATTTGTGTTTTCTTCATCACTGCTATAACTGCCAGAATAGGTTACAATGGAATCAAAGCAACCAGTCACATTAAGACATTAACTGTGCTACTTTGCAGAAATTAAATATTTTCCTGCCTGGAAAGTAGTGTTTCTTCTGAAATCAGTGTATTTTTTTATTTATTAAATGTGACTATCTCACTGACTGGCTACTTTTGGTATTGTTCGTTGCATAGTTTCACCAAATTCTCCATAGAGTTAGTCAAGGATTTTAGGTAAACTTAGCAACCATTCCTGGCTAGCAGATATTTGATGCTAAGATCCTATTCTCCCCATCTTTGTGTCAGAAAATCATTGTAAAAATTAATTATATCAACAATTTTTAAATGCTAGTTTTCTAGGAGAAAAAATAATAATTAGGCAGAACAAATGTGTGCTTTTGACAAATATTGCTAATAGCACCTGTGGAGCTCTCTGATAACTAGTGGCTAAAGGAAAGCCCTAACTTATACATGGAGTGCTGTAGAGAGATTTCTTTGATTACTAAAGTCAAGAACTTTGTTAACAGTATTGGAAATATTTGTAGCAGCTCTTCTGAAATGTGCCTGTGGTTGAACATTATGAATGTGTTTGCATTATTATTTCTCTATGCAGATATTGCAAGGGATTGTTGTTGTTACTTATATGTAATAACGTGTGCATATGCACATACATATAGATTGAGAGAAAGCCTAATGCTGAAATTTATCGTCATTCATCTCAGCTTCTCTTTCATTACCTGCTTTGGGATAAACATGGATATTTTTCGTGTGGATTAAATTAGATTAGATTGAATTTATATTGACAGGAGTAGCCGACACCTCATAAGATAAGCTCAAGATCCAAAAGATCTTGATAGACTTAAACACTGGGCCATATCTAACAAAATGAAATTCAATGTAGATAAAAATAAGGGCTTACACTTATGCAAGAAAAACCAAATATATAGGTACAGGCCAGGTGAAATTTGGCTTAATGCCATTAACTGTGAGCAGGATCTTGGAATCCTAGTGGACAATCAGTTAAATATGAGCCAATAGTATGGCAGCAGCCAAAAAAAGCCAATGTAATCCTAGGCTGCATTAATAGAGGGATAGAATTAAGATCACGTAGAGTAGAGTAGAGTAGAGTAGAGTAGAGTAGAACAGAGCTGGAAGGGACCTTGGAGGTCTTCTAGTCCAGCCCCCTGCTCAAGCAGGAGAACCTATACCATCTCAGACAGGTGAATGTTTAGTCTCTTCTTAAAAATCTCCAGTGATGGAGCACCCATGATTTCTGGGGCTGAGCTGTTCCACTGATTGATTGTCCTTACTGTCAGAAAATTTCTTCTTAATTCCAGGTTGCTTCTCTCTTTGATCAGTTTCTCGTCCTTCCCTCTGGTGCTTTAGTGAACAACCTGGCCCCCTCTGCCTTGTGGCAGCCCCTCAGATACTAGAACACTGCTATCATGTCTCCCCTATTTCTTCTTTTCTTTAGACTAGTCAAATCCAAGTCCCGTAGCTGTTCTTTATATGTATTAGTCTCCAGGCCTTTGATCATCTTAGTTGCTCTTTGAATTTTTTTCAAATTCTCTACATCTTTTTTGTGATATGGTGACCAAAATTGGCTACAGTATTCCAGGTGTGGTCTTACTAGGGTTTTATAAAGTGATACTAATATTTTGTGTGATCTTGATTCTATGCCTTTGTTTATACAACCCAGGATTTTATTAGCTTTTTTGTTACTGCTGCACACTGCTGGCTCATAGATTGTGGTCTATTTTGACAAATGCCTTAATGAAATCTAAGTATACTATGTCCACTGCATTTCGCTGGTCTACTAGTTCAGTCACTTTATCAAAGAATGAGATAAGATTGGTTTGGCATGATCTGTTTTTAACAAACCTGTGCTGGCTACTAGTTATGACTTTGTTTGCTTCTAGTTGTTTGCAGATCTGTTTTTTTGATTATCTCTTCCAGGATCTTCCCAGATACTGATGTTAAACTGATTGGTCTGTACTTTCCTTTCTTGAAGATGGGGACCTTATCAGCCCTTTTCCAAACCTCAGGTACTTCCCTGGTGCTCCAGGATTTATGAAAGATGTGGTGCAATAGTTCTGAGATAACATCTGCCAGCTCCTTCAGAACTCTGGGATGTAATCTATCGGGTCCCGATGATTTATATTTGTCAAGGTTGGATAGGTGTTTTCTTACCATTTTTTTGCTTACCATTTTGTAGTATGTCTTTTGCAGTGGTTTTTTTTTGGGGGGGGGGGTATAGTTTCTTTTTGTGTAAAGAGTACTGCTTTACAAAGCCTTAGTAAGACCACACTTGGAATACTGCATCCAGTTCTGGTCACCACAATACAAAAAAGTTGGAAAGAGTACAGAGAAGAGCAACAAAAACAAGTGGGGGCCTGGAGGCTATATTGTATGAAGAATGGTTATAGAAATTGGATATGTCTAGTCTAATGAAAAAAAGGACTAGGAGGGTATAATAGCATTCTTCTAATAATTGAGGGGCTCCTACAAAGACTAGGGGGTCAAAATATTTTTCAAAGCACTAAAAGGCAAGATGAGAAATGATGGAAATTAACCAAGGAGAGAAGCAACCTAGAACTAAGGAGAAATTTCCTAATAGTGAGAGCAAGCAAGCAATGTAATAGCTTGCCTTTAGAAGTTGTGGGTGCTCCATCACTGAAGGCTTTCAAAAAGAGATTGAACAACTATTTATCTGAAATGGTATCGGATCTCGAGCAGGGTGTTAAGACTAGAAGACCTCCATGTCCCTTCCAACCCTGTTATTCTAGCACAGTTAATGTCTTAATGTAACTTGCTGCTTTGATTGCATTGTAACCTGTTTCTGGCAGTTATAGCAGTGATGAAGAAAATATGAACCTGAAGTTCTATGTTCTATGAATTTAAACATTAAAATTAGAAATAAGAAACTGGTAAGTGATATCAAACTATCTTTTATTTTTATAGTTTACTTTATTGCAGTTTTTACGATCCTTACTGTCAGGCTTTCATTAAACAAAAAATAACTCTGTCTGTTCTCAACTGAAGAATGTCAAGTGACTCTTTCTAAATAGGGTCATTGTTAATCCCACTGAAGCAAATAGATACTAAGCTCATCAGGTCTCATAATAAAGCCTCTAGTAATGAAATATTTGTTTGGGATACCCTGATCTTCACATATCAGTCTAAGTTTGTTCTGAGTACAAGTTACAGTGTTCAGCCTGTAATCTGTTAAAGGTAAACATGATTTAGCATCATGTTATTTTCCAACATCTTTAGTGATGTTTCTTTCACGCAGGAATCTATAGATCCTTAGTGGTCTTTGATCCATCCTGAAACCTGCAGATCTTCAGCCACCATCATATTCTTTGTCTCTCTGACTCCAAATACAGCTCCTTTCCTACCAGCTCTTTTCAACTTCCTTTCCTTCATGACAGATTGTGATTGTATTTTATGCCCAGGTTTTACCAAACTGAGTTTATTAATTCCAGGCATAGTTTTCTGCAGATAGTGTTTATGTATTTATCTCAGTCAACCCAGGCAGCTTACAATTCAAAAATATATATAACAAAACAGTAAAAACATTTTAAAAACAATAAAATATAACAAAAATAACAGTATGACAAAAATAACTTATGAAATTATCTATACCGTTCTATCATACTATGCCAAAACTAATATCCAAATTATAGAAGTAATCCTTGTTCATACTCATGTGTTAAGTGTGGTGCCCAGATCTGTTCACCATTCAAAAGTATTTCTGTGAGCATAGCACCTGCCTGAAATTCATTAAAACAGTTTATTCTTTATCATGTTTTCACTTTAATCTTGGAAAGTATGCCAGTCCTTTAAGAGACCCAGAGCTTCTTAAAAACAGCAATATCTTATTTTCAGGTTTAAAATTAAACAGGGCAGAAAAATAGGGGAGTGAATCCCTCTTATCTTTGGAGGAAAGTAAGGATAGGAACTGATGGCAGATATGCATGGAGTCAAGGTATCAAATACTATAGTATTATTTTTACTATCTACAGCTGTTCTCTAGCATGATGATGTAGCATCCATCAATTGGATAATCAAAGCCTTCCTGCTCAGATTTAGACTAAGACCAAACTTGAGCCACGCCTCCTTTGGGCGTTCCTTCCCCAGTTTTGTCTTAGTCTATGCTCAGATAGGACACAGCTTTACCAGCTCCTCATTAGTTTATTATTTAAAACTGTTAGATTAGGTTAGAAAGTCAGGAATTGATTTAACTTTGGTTGTTTTTAACAACTTTACGAGCGAATTTGAGTGTCGGTTCCAGAGGGCCATTGGGGCCTCGTGGATTGTCGGAGCTCTGCCGCTGCGGCGTCATTAATTCAGCTCAGCTGCTGAGCGCAGTTTGGGAGGCTTCCCTCGTGCCGGAGAGTGATCTTTCTTCCAGCGACCTGGAAAGTTCAGCTGAGCACCGGACTGTGGAGAGCAGCTAGAGAGGCTTCCCTGGCGTCATACATTTTCTTCCGACGCCGCTGGCAGGCTCCGGATTGCCGCTCCTGCCTCGTGGCCACGAGGCTCCTTTGAAGAAGAACTCAGAATCTCCCCTACGCTGCTAAATCGCAAGTTTATGGTGCCTTATAAATGCAGGGGGGGGGTGAGGGGTGTAATTTCCCTCACTTGGTCTCCTGAACGAGGCAATTAAACAAACGAGCTCAGCGAGCTTCAGTAAGCTTAGCTAAAGGGGAGAATCCGTTCTTTAGGCGCCAACGTGACTCGCGGCCGCCATTTTGAATTTGGGCCTGGGTGTGGTCGCCATATTGAGGATCGTCCTCTTCCCTCTAATTCAGGCCTTTTACTAGTAGCCCACTGTGCTGGGTTCTTGTGGGGGTTTATCAGTTGGTTCTGCTCCAGCTTCTTCATAGAGCCTCCTTACTGAAGGTGTAATAGTGGTGGAGGCTTGCAGACTTACTCCTGTAGTAATTTATAACCTGTTCTTAGTGCCCGGCGCTGTGTCGGAAGGGCCAAACAGACAGCTTTAGATAGCTGTTCTGGCTATTTGCCATTGTGGTTGTCTTAGGGCGCGGGAAGCTTCCCTCCCGGACAACTTGATCTGCGTGTTAACCCCACCCCAGGTCTTCTCCTGTCTGGAAGGTCCAGGGCACAATGGCAGATGGTGAGTCTCCTCAGACATTGCAGGGTTCTGATGTTCCCCCCACTCAATCTAAACGCAGATCATCTGAGGTGGACACGGGAAAGAAAAAAGCTAAAACCAAGCATCTAACAACCAAAGAACCCTCCAAATCTGCTGAGCGAGAGGCCTCGAGGAGACATCAGGCACTGGAGAAAGAATTCTCCAAAGCACAGAGGCTCCGGTCCAGCGAAGCTGAAGTGGTTCCCCCTGCTTCTCTGGGCGGTTCACCTTATGAGCCACCGCTGGTGCCTTCTTATCAGCTCCCCAGGGCTTGGTCTCCTCAAGGGGGAACTGAAGAGGTTGGTCTACCTCCCCACGTTCATCATATTCCTTCATCTCCTATCCTGGGTCTCTCCATTTCACCTGCTAACATCTCTATGCAGGCCTCTGAAGCCACTGCCGTTGGTGTGTCTTCTGCTGAACAAGACTTATGGGCTTAACAGTTCCAGAGCTTTATACATAAGGCCTTTGATCAATTTATGTCTTCTTCCTTGGCAAAGGGACATTCAAATGTTTTTTGGTGGTTCTCCTACCTCTCTGGCCGGTCGCAATCGGTACTGGTGGGGGGCAGAGGTCAACCCCGAGGCCCCTTGAATGCGGGGTGCCGCAGGGGTCAGTCCTCTCCCCCCTCCTATTTAACATTTACATGAAGCCGCTGGGTGAGATCATCAGACAGCACAGAGTGAGGTTTCATCAGTATGGTGATGATACCCAGCTATATATCTCTTCCCCGAGCTCTCTCAGTGAAGCGGCTGATGTGATGGGCCATTGCCTTGAAGCCGTGAGGGTCTGGATGGGGGTTAACAGACTCAGGCTCAATCCTGACAAGACCGAGTGGCTTTGGATGTTGCCTCCCAAGGATCATGTTAACTGTCCAGTGTTGACTCTAGCAGGGGAAAATATACCCCCTTCGGAGCGGGTTCGCAACTTGGGTGTCCTCCTTGATCCACAGCTGAATTTGGAACATCATTTGACGGCTGTGGCTGGGAGGACCTTTGCACAAGTTCGTCTGTTGCACCAGTTGCGACCCTACCTGGACCGGGAGGCTCTCCTTACAGTCACTCATGCCCTTGTCACCTCACGCCTGGACTACTGCAACGTGCTCTACATGGGGCTACCCTTGAAAAGTATTTGGAGACTACAGTTGGTCCAGAATGCAGCCGCGCGAGTGATAGCGGGTATTCCTTGGTACACCCACGTTACACCTATCCTCCACGAGTTGCACTGGTTGCCTATTGGTCTCCGGGTCCAATTCAAGGTGTTGGTTATTACCTTTAAAGTTCTATATGGCTCAGGGCCAGGCTATTTGCAAGACCGCCTACTACCTCATAGTTCCCTTCGTCCAGTTAGATCCCACAGGCTGGGCCTCCTTCAGGTCCCATCGGCCAAGCAGTGCCATTTGGCAGGGCCACGGGGGAGGGCTTTCTCTGTGATGGCGCCCACATCTTGGAACCAGCTCTCCCCGGAGATTAGGACTGCTCCCACCCTGTTGGTTTTCCGCAAGCTGCTTAAGACCTGGCTTTTCCGGCAGGCCTGGGGTTTTTAAAATCTGACCCCTGGATGAATGTTACTGTATTGTTTGTCTTGTTAAGTTATATTGTGTTTTTATTGTTAGCCACCCGGAGTCCTGCGGGAGTGGGGCGGTCTATAAATTTTAATAAATAAATAAATAAAGGCTGGCCCTATAGAAAGTCTAAGTGATGCCAAATTGGACCCTCCCATAGGCGGGCGCTTAGCTCTATTCAGCGACGCCTGGGAGGTCACCACAAACGATGTTTGGGTCAGAGAGACCATAAGATTCGGTCTATCCCTAGAGCTAAAATCCATCCCACCAGACCGCTTCCTTCAAGGTCAGACCTCAAGACACGCACTCAAGGCCGAGCTGGT